AAGTACTGCATGGATGAAAGTCCAAACCCACCGTCCTACTGTGCGTCTTAGTCCGTCAGTTATCTGTTGGCAAAACCATCTCCTTCAGTCTAGAAGATCACACGTAATAAGGAAAATAGCAAAGAAACTAGAAAGCAGTTGTAGTTAATGGTGACGGGAGGGGATTTTCAAGAAGCTTCTGATCAATTTAATGGAAAGTTTGGAAATAAAGCATTGAGAAATTACATTCACCTCTCTTAAATATTATCTTACCTCACGTCTATAACCATGCCTTTATCTTTGACTCCTGGGTCAAAAAAAAATTTATTTGCAAGGTAGGCCCATACCAAGCGAAACTCCATAAACAAAATTAGCGAAATCTTATCCCAACGAAATGGTGAAGACATTGCACACCTCTTTCGAAGCTTATACATGTATCTCTGAGTCTTATGCACCCTCGTATTGGCATCGCAATTTATAAATTAATCTATTAATTAATAAATTGATAAATTCTATTAATAAATTAAGCTTATACATGTATCTCCGAGTCTTATGCTCCCTCGTATTGGCATCGCAATTTATAAATTAATCTAAACGGTTCTTTGGGGTAGACCCATGACCTTGCTTGTACTGGGTGTTTTTACAGTTTCCGTAAAAGAAAAGAAGAGAGACTGAACATGAGTAATTTTAAACCCACAGAGTAAGGAAAATGGAAGAAGGGACACGTGGCACGGTCTGGCACATGTTGCTGAGATATAAACTCTTCACCACAATGATGTGACCAGCAATTCTCCCCAGTAGTGTGTTTGTGCGTTAATTTAAGATAAAACTTTCCAGCTGGTCTGTTTTTTATATTCTCGTCACCTGGTTCTTGGATAGTATACTGAAAGTCGGAAAGAAGAAGTGGCATGTCAAGGTGTCAAATAATCTTAAGAGAAATTTCAACGCTAAGGTTGCACCTGGAGTAAACAAAGTGAAAAATTTGAAATACCGTATCCTCGCACGGTGAAACAGTTTGTTACTAACTTTAGTCAAGTCAAATATTAGTACTGTCCAAAATGGATTTTAAAAGGTAGAGCTCGAGCTGTGTTCGTCTCGTCACTCTCAAAAGAGGCCAGGCAAGAAAGTAAGATTGATAAATCGAAAAATAGCTGATATCAAATAAAAGCAACAAGATAATTTCTCAGTGCTTCATTTCCCCTGATATTATAATCCATAATGGCTACATTTCATCCAAGACGCGAAACTTTGCATTCTCGGACTGAGCCCCTCTGCTACAAAGACGTTTGGATTATTAAAAATAAAATGTCGAAAACGTGCAAAAGCTAACGTATTCACGATTTATTTTCTTAGTTCGATTTTCCAATTACACTCCAGTTAACTCCCTCTCACAATTCTCTCGAACAAAAACAAAACATCTCCTTGTAAGCACGTGGAACAGCACCATATATGGGGCGATAAGACACGTGCTGCATACATGCGGTTTGGTTATGTAATAGATAAACGAAATCACTTATGTTTAATATTAATAAATGTAACGTACAGTTTCCAACAAAAAGAAATTAACAATGATCGTCGTTGTTTTAAGTTTCATTGTTCGAATTTTCCCGTTCTGAATCCCTGCACCCCATTCTGATTACTGAAGAAATGATTAAGGAAACAGTAAAAGAGCTGATCTCACCGGGGGTTCTGGAAAGTCCATGTGCAATTTTGCCCAAGCCACTGAAGCACTGAGGATCAGAAGAAGAAGTTCATCTTGAGTTCTGTACTCAGTTGACTGATTCGTAAGGCAATGTGTCTCACACAGTCAGCCCGGGTTCGTTACTATATAATCCTCCCAGCTAGACTGTATATTTCATTTCCATTGACAAAAGCTAGAACAATATAAATATTTTTTTCAAACGTTCTGTTTCCCCCGAAATCTCGTTATTCTAAACCTCCTTGTCCATTTGGCCGTACTTTGGTGATATGATATCGGCAACACCACTGACATGTACCAAATATCTAATACCGCAGTTCAAAATATATGAACTTCATATATTTCATTGTATCTGACACCCGTCTATCTTAAGTCAACAGGGCTGGTTACCTCATTTCATCTCTATAATTTCTCTCTTACCGCAAGATGATGTTTACATTTTTTTCTAATGCCCTGTTGAAACAAATAATACTTATGGGAAAGAAGTAAAACCCATGTGCAAAGTATTTGGATACAGAATACGTGACTAGCAGTGTTCGCTGGGAAAGTAATCTTAGTAATAGGCGCAAGTGTGGGTTTGACGAAGGGCGAACGTTCGAAACGTCAGCTTTTATAATCGTAACGGTGGCCAATTTACCTTTTCAAATTTGTTGATATATTCAAAATAATAAAAAATACATTTCTCTTTTCAGTTTTGAAGTGTGTTTACTGTTTCATTGGTAGCTTGGAAGTTTTGAAAGGAAGTTTTTTGTTCATGTCGATGAAATCCGTGGCGATGGAGGAGAATAGAAAAGAAAACTTAGGTTGCTCATTAGAATCTCGAACCTAGGTACATGTAACTTTTTGACATAAGCGTTTGATTTTCTTATCGCCGAGTTCTAGCTGATAATATGAACCAGCCCTGAACCAGGCTCTTGAGCAAATAATTTAGGGTTTTGCTTCTGTTCAGGAAGAAAGACTGGTCATTACTGCTTCTAGCTTATTCTGGACGAAACACAAACGAGAAAAGAAAACCTTCATGTCCCAATAAAACGGATACGTGTTTTCTAGCCCATGTTTCCTTCATTCAGGCTCTATTGAAAAATCCTGTAAAAACTAGGATCGAAAAAATAAAACATGTTTATTACATGCAACTGAAGTCCTTGCATCTATTCAACGTCCTTGGTCCTACTAGTTAGCGGTTTAGTGCGGTCCTTTACATTCCAGACAAGTATGAAAACATCATCATGGAATAGTTAAATATCATCTAAACTATTAAGAGTATAATGCAATCAAAATGTTTCAAACTTGTTTAAAGTACAAGGTACTAAATAACATTTACCTCCATATCTATAAAAATAAAATATATACATAAAATGTTTTTTTGTATAGTTGTGAATTCTAAAACAACTTTTGATTTTATCATTAAGATTACATCCTCATTAGATTTTGGTCTATTCCACTAGACTGGAAAAGAGATTACACTCTCAAAACAACTATGTTGCCCATACAATAATTTCGTACCAAAAGTATTTTGAAGAGTACTGCCGAGTTCTGCTCTTTAAAAAATCACCAGCTGAGAAAAAAATATGTTAGAGTACGAGCTCTGCGTTTTGAAACATATTAAAATAGTATTTACAATGCTTAAAGTGGTCTCAAGGAATAAACAAGGCAACCAAGAAGAGGAGCATTTTCAATGTAACACCTACATAGTACTTTTCAAGACTACTATCAAAAAATATCATCTGCTATAAAAATTACAAAATATCGTATTACACGAAAGGCGATAAGTCACAAGAGGAGCCTATCCGAGCTTTATGTCTCTGACTCAGTGGAACGGGAAAGTATCAGGTCTCCTCTAACTTCCCAGTCAGTGCCAGCTATTGCTTCAGACAAACACTGTTTGCCCGCGTCTGTTACCATCCAATCTCCTTCAAGGTTTAAGCTCTTTAGTTAGCATTTGGTATCAGTTAAGGCTTCGCACAAGTACTTTATTCCTTCATCTCCTATTTCACTGATGTCTAGGCTCGTTAATGCACAGTTCTCGTTAGTTAAAGTTCTAGCTAAGGGCATTATCCTTTCTACTAACTTTTTAAGCTGGTTAAAGTGCAGTTAGTGCTGATCAGTGCGTCACACAAGTGTTTTAATCCTTCACTTCCAAAGCAATTCACTGGCGTTCCAATTGGTTAAGTTGCCGTTAACACTGGTGAGTACGTTACACAACTGCAACAATCCATCATCTCGTAACCGATTGTCACTGACGTTTAAGCTGGTTATATTGCAGTTAACACTAGTTAGCGCGTTACACAAGTGCATTATTTCTTTGTCTCCTAACGCACTGTCACTGACAGTAAAACTGGTTAACTTGCAATGCACACTGGTCAGCGCGTTACACAAGTGCATGTAA